ATATTTATTCATAACATCATCTTCAAATATAAAACTTAGTGCAGAAGGGTTGATGTTTTTACAATGACTTGGTAAATTCAGTAAAAGTCCCATATCATATTTTCCATTTGGTTGTTTTGGGATTTTACAACTAAGATAAGACGTTGGCTCTTGTGCATTTTCTATACAGAAGAATGCACTAACTTTATTTAAATCAATAACCACATTACTATTTTCATTTACAGTAATCAAATTTTGTCCCATACTACTTACTAATTGAAAACATGAATTTGTTCCATCATCTTCAGCACCAACTACTGAAACAAAATCATCAAAGAAAAATTTACTTTGACTTTCATCAATAAAGATTGGATAATTTTGTGAAATAATATTTAATTCTTCAACAATTATTTCAGTTGGCGTTTTAGTATAAATATGACTGTCCATTAAACTTAATTCAACTCCATTAAAAATACTCTTAAATAGATTTTTATTTGAACCATCATAATATAACGAATTTTCAATAGACATTTTCGTATTTTTAAATTCTGAATATCCTTCTATATAAACTGAATTTAATTCAAGTGTAGCATCTTCAGATTTTAAACTTTGGACATGTGTTTTTATTAATTTAAGTGAGGCTTGTGATTCCACAATAACACTTTCTAATGAACTGTCTTGAATAGAAACTTTTCCTGATTTAATAATTAAATTACTACATTTAATTGGATTTCTTCCAAAGTCTAATGAGTTATCATTATTAATGTCAATTATTAAATTAGTTAATTTTTTTGAATTCCATTCTTCTTTCCATAAAGCAGACTTTAATAAAAGTATTGTTGGAATAACTGAATCTCCATCTTTTTTTTCTTCAAATGGACATCTTTCAATATTAAATTGATTATCTTTAAATATGCATGTTATTGGTTGGCAAGCAACGTCTATTGTTTCTTGTGCAACATAGAACACTTCATATTGAGCACATTCAATTTTAATTTTTCCTGTTAATTTAGTTCCTTTATCATCTTGAACTATAAGAGAACTAATAAAATTTTCTGTAATAATCTTTTCTGAATGAATCAAAGGAATACTATTGATACGCTCTTTATTCATTTTAATAATAAATTTACCAATCTGAACACCTTCTGTTGATGGAACCAACAAATGGAAATTAGCTGTTTCAAGAGTAATAGAATTAAGTTTAACTTTTTCTGGTAATAATACCTCTGACCTTCCACTAACATTTATTTCATTAATACTTCCTTGCCCCATAATCAAATTTCCATCAACATCTAATTGATTTATATCTCCATTATATTTAATATTTGCTTCTGATGTTATAACTATATTAGGCTTTCCATTACTCGATCCAATTATTGTATTTGCCCCAAATGTTATTTTATTTTCATTTTTTACACTAAGTTTTTCAATAATAAGTTGATTGTCTAATGTTTTTCCGTCATTATTAAAAACAACATCATTTTCAACTATAACTTCTTTAATAATATTTTTTTGTATATCAAAAGTGTTTTTTGCTTTGACAATTAGTTTATTAACACTTTCTAAAAGTATGTTTCCGTTAATTTCTTCATTTATAATAAAAACACAGTCAGGGCTATTAGCAACAATTTTTCCATCACTACCTTGACACTCACTAACAAACATGTTTATATTTGAAACAGTACATGTGCATTCATTAGAATACGAGTATTGAATAATTCCTAACACGAGTAAGAAAATAGCTTTCATGTCAAGAAATACTTTATTTTTTTTTAGTTTTATTTTATTTATTTTTTTTAAATGACTTTTTTTAGAAACTCCTTTAAAAAAAATGTTCTAACGAATGAGTCATGATTAGAACAAATTGTAGACATTGTTTAACACGATCATTCTATTCTTTATTACTGTGACAAAAAGTTTAGAAATTACATTAAATATGAGAGTATCTATAAAGTGACGTTTTATATAAATTGTTTAATGAAATATTTAAACTTGTTAATTAAATTAATTCTTCTTTAATAAAAAAGGACTTTAAAATTATAAGACGTTTGTCTGTTACCCCTCTTTTAATTTGAAAATTGGTTAAGTTTATTTTTTTAAAGTATGGTATTTATAAATCAACAAAGTAAAGAAATATTTGAATGAGACCCAATCCTACAAAGCCATAAAGCTAAGAATTAGAACGTTTCTGTTTTGTTGTTTTTATTTTAGTGAATTCTGGATTTAAGGAGTTTAATACAAGAACTATTGAATACATTCATATAGAACTAAAAAAGAAGAACTTAAAAATATAAAGTACTTTATTAATGAACAATACTCAAGTAGAATTTATCTTTAATCTCCTTGACAAAGACAAGTCAGGGTATCTTGATCGTGATGAATTTTGTGAAGGACTTATTGAATTTTATCATATTACTGATGATAAAAAAGAATCATACAGAGAAATATTTAATGATATCTTTCTTTTAGCTGATGGAAAAGGGTTGTTTAATTCAAGAGACAACAAAATTACTTTGAGAGAATTCAAAAATATTTGTAGTTTACTTCCAACTGAAACTAAACAAACTGATGTCATTGTTGGAACTGTTGCTTTCAAATTGGTTGATAGTAATAATAGTGGAAAAGTTAATAAGAAAGAATTAATTACCTTCTTAAAAAAAACTGGAATTCATCTTAAAAAAGGAGAGGTTGACGTATTAATGGATTCTATAGATGAAGATGGTGATGGTAAAATTTCACTTCAAGAATTTATGCTTCTTTACGACCTTTAATTAATTTTCAGTCTTTATATTATTTTCTTTCACAAGTAAATTCTATTTTTATAACACATTATTTTTAATGTAAATATTTAATAAATTTACAATTAAAATTTAATATCTTTTATTTCAAAGATATTTGGGAAATTATATTTACTGATAATCTAGTATTATCAAAAGAATTATATAATTTGTTACTTGCCTTGATAAACTGAATCCTGTTTTTATTTAAGAAAAGTTATTTTTCAAGACTCTTTTTTAGGAATTATTCTATAAACAATTTTGACTAATTTAAAATTATTTAGAAGTTTTCATGAAGTAAATACATCATTTATATTTTGTGAGTTTATTAATAACATTTATTTAAAACAATAATGTGTTAATTCTTTTATTGAGAACCAAAATAAATAAAGTATTTGATAATTACTATTATATTATACTAAGTCTTAGAATAATAATGTTGATTATTATTCTATGTTTTTTTTACGTCAAAAAGTTAATTACACTGGTTTAAAAAATATTCGTTTATTAATTCACTTTCTCTTAAAGAGTTGTACAAATTACCAAATTTATTAATATAAGTTATTAAGTAGAATAAATTTAATTATCGTTTTTATTAAAAATTAAATAAATCAGAATGTTGTTAGATTCTACTAATTCAAAATGGATGTTTAATAATAATAAAAAATATTTAAAGATATTTAGAAATAACCAAAATATATTAAACGGTATGTTAGAATAAATAAATAATTAATAACAAGAATGTTATCAATTCCTTATATATTTTTTCAATTAGTAGATATAACCTGAGAAATAAAAAAAGGGATAACCTTAAAAATAACTTATGAGTAATTAAAATTGTATCTTTAAACCTCTTCAGAATTTTAGTGTTTTTTTTTAAGAGAGATAATGATTTAATGAGTTAAAAATGAAATCTTCAACTTTAAATACTATAAATTATGATATTAAATTTATAAGCACGACTATTGAGAATAATAATAAATTTATTCAAATATATTTAAAATTTACTGTGTTATATTTATTTTAAAAAATAGGAATACCCTTATATCTTTTCTCGGTGTCAATATCCAAAATAAGAGAGAATAAAAAAGTATTTTATAATTAAACTAATACCATTTAAGTCCAATAAAAATTACAATTTGTTATGTATTCAAGGAATTTCATCGATGTTCTGAAAAAAAAATAATCATAATTAACACTTCTTCAAATAACAATAAAACAAAGTGGTCTCTTGATAAAACAATTGAAGAGTATCTACAACCCATAATCAAGAAGTCAGACCTAAAAGATGTTATGAGTCTTGATTATCAGTACCTTTTTATTAGTTGTTTTACAATGTTTTTCTTTTATTATTTTATAAGTTGTTCTAAAATATGCCTTCGTTTCACAAGAATTATTATGTTTTATAAAGCATTCAAATAACTGAAAAATTGGAAAAAAGTAAACTTGAAGTGAAAAGGCAGGAAGAACTTTTGATTGAAAAAGGCAGAAACAAAACTCTAAAATCAAATACATTTATCAATCAATAATGACCACATCTAAAATTAGTCCTGAACAATTAGAAGCAATGAAGAAGAAAATTGATGAAGAAGAACAAGAATTCTTTAAAGAACTTGCTGAAAAAGGTGATTGGAATCCTTGCAAATCAAAAGACAATGCCAAGTTATGGTATAAAGATGACCGTGCAACTGGAATTAAGAAAATGAAAATTAATGCCTTAATTCCTGCTAGAATGCAATGTGTTATTGACGCATTATTAGTTCCAGAAAACAGAGTTTCTTGGGAAGTATTAGTTGATGGAATGAAACAAATTGAAGATTTTGGAGATGGTTACACAATGCATCATATCACAACTAAAACTGTTGGTTTGGTTGTTGGAAGAAGAGACTTTGTTCACTTCAGAAGAATCAGGGGTCCAGAAGGAATAGACAAAAAGAAAGAGAACCAAGTTGATGCCCGTGTTGTCATTGACATTTCTGCAGAACATCCAGACTATCCTGCTAATAGCAAAGAATTCACTCGTGCTACAACATTGTTTTGTGCAACTATTTTCAGAGAATTCAAGAATCCAGATGGAAAATATTATACTAGTTATGACACTATTACACAATCTAATATTAATGGATATGTTCCATCTTGGTTAGTTAATACTGCAACTTCATCTTCTACCCTTGATTGGTATAACTCACTTGAAAAATGTGCTATGAAATTGTCTAAGGAACAAGAAAAGAAAGAAGGAGATAAAAAATAAATTTTAATCTATTTTTTCAGGTCTTTTTTTATTCTTTAAAAAGATAAAAGAAAAGAGAAAAAACTTAGAAGAAATCATTATAAAGATTTAGTCATTAGTATTGTGTTAATGAAACCTGAACAACATAAACAAATCACTATAGAAGCAATAAATAATTATGGTGTTGTAAACTTAAATTTAGTTGATCCATCGTACCTGAAAGAATCAGGAAATTTTGAGACACATTCATCTCTAAGCAAACTAGGAGAAACAGAA